CACTTGCATTTGCGATAATTCGTAACACATCCAATTCCATCATTTGGTTCCATTTTTACCTTTAGATGGGCGTTACACTAATGTGTGGGAGGTTGTGAGTGATATAGATATTCTAATAGGGGCATTTGAAAATATAGTCTCTAGACCAGAGTATGCAGAGCTTAGACAAGGAGGGCCAAAGAGATTGAATATGCAGTCTTTCAAAGATATTTAGGCACATATGAAGAATCCAAACTATAAGTTCTCACCCGAGTTGAAGCTGAAACCAAAGAGTAAATTTGTTCCAAGAAAGAAATGGCAGAAGGCAGAGTCTAGACGTAGAAAAGCACGAAAGCAATGAGTTGCTTCCCTTATTTTTTGACTCTCAAAATTTACATAAGGTAGCTCAGATGATGATAAAAAATGATGCTTTAATTTCATACTTTTTTAGTATCCCTGATGATGAAAAAGATGAGTGAGCTAGAGCTTTTCTTACTAGTGATATTTATGAGTGGTTGTTTAGTTTCAATGGAAAAGCATAGCCAGATTATCTTTAAATATTGTAATGTATGTGCTATGCATTTCTCTTTTCATATTGTAACTAATTAAGATTATGCTTCACTTTGTTAAATTGTATTAACTAGGAACTTGCTTGACTTGACAGATGATGGATGCTATATATAAGTGAATCTACTAGTTTTGGTGTATGACTATATTTTGGGATTATATATGTAGTTGAATGATATATTGGTTCATTTTTATTATTGACAGGGGCCAAAATGATCATTTTACTCGATACATATCATGGTAGAATACCAAAGTGATCATATTTGAGCTTGTGATAATTTATTATTGCATAAAAAATCAAATATTATTTTTTTTACCATTGAAATATAGTTTTTAAATTTTATCCTTCAAATTAAAAGTTTTTTCAATAATTAAATTACTTTTTTACTATTTTAATTAATTAAATGTTGAATTATTTATGATTATTAATCAAGGGTATTTTAGTCAAAATACAGTTGATTTCCATTCCATTTCGTTGTCAACCAAACATCATAATCCTCATTCAGGTACTGATTCCATAACTCCAACCAAACTAAAGAATTAATTTATTCTCATTACCATTCTACCACTACAACTAAATGCACCCTTACGGTGCGTTTGGTTGGGTGGAAAGGAAATGAATATAATAAGATGAAATCCAAGTATGATATTTGATTGGATTTATAAAAAATAAATAGTCATTCAAAAGGAATGGTCACTCACCTATTTTGAGTGAATCATCATTCCTTCTTCACATGAGAAGAATAGTCATTCTAAACACTTTTCTTTTTTTTCCATAATTACAACACATTATATAGTAGTTATATATTATAATATGTAATATAATGTAATAGATAATTAAAATATTATGATATAATATAATATAATTTATAATACAGTTATCAATTATAATATATTTATTTAATATTCTATAATGATATATTATATATTATAATGTAATTATATATTATAATATAATTATAATTATATTAT